ATCCTCCACTATGGGGGATACAAAAGAAAGGGTGGGTGGTGAGGTGGTGGTTCCATAGGCACCTGAAAAGCAAATACTACAGCTATTGACTCCCTAAAGAGGCTGGGAAGTGCCTGGATCACATTGTTAATGTCACCCTCAACATTACCTGTGTTTTTCCTTTTAGGCATCTACCAAGCAGCATTTGTGAAAGAAACATAGAATATCCTGAGTTGGAAGGGACCCACAAGAATCATAAATTCCAATTGGCCTGGCACAGTACAGCCCAAGAACTAGACCATGTGTCCAAAAGTTGTCCCAATGTTTTTTGAACTCTGTCAGGCTCRTGCTGCTACCACTTCCCTGGGGAGCCTGTGGCAGAGGCCAACCACCCTCTGGGTGAAGAAAATTTTCATAATATCCAGCCTAAACCTCCTGACACAATTTCATGGCATGCCCTCAGATCCATAGCTTGTCACCAGAGATATCAGTCCCTGCCCCTCCTCCTCCTGTTCACAAGGAAGTTGTAACTGCAGTGAGGTCTGTCCTCAGTCTCCTCCAGGGTGAACAGACCAAGTGACCTCAGCCACTTCTCATATGGCTTCCCATCCAGACCCTTTACCATGTTGCCATCCTTTGGGTGTTCTCTAGTAGCTCTATAACCTTCTCATATTGTGGTGCCTAGAACTGCCCACAGCACCTGAGGAAAACAACTAAGACAGAGAAAGGCCTGCAGGGAAGCCTGGGACAGCTGCTGCAACTTTTTGAAAACCCTGCAATTCTACTTCCTTCTCCCTTWAAAGGGTTTCCACTTACCAGCCTCYCTACAGAATTTAGAAAATTACAACTAATGAACCTCAYCTAATATTGGCAATTTCCAACACCAGCAYTATAAAAYATTCACTTGCAGGMCCTTAATGCACATCTTACWGGTCATGTCAAAKAAGAAAGTGCAACAGAGCAATATGTGAAGTCACCAGAGCTCTGTCCTYCCCACAGCAAAGAAAACAGGTGTGCCATGGCTTTTGCAGCTGAACACAACACAAAAGCAGCGACTCTGGCTTACAGGGGAAAAAGTGAATGTCAAAGGAGCAAATGTAAGAACAGGGCACTTAACTTTCTAGCAGCCTCCAACCCCCACAGTGCTTCATTTTGAGCCACTCCGAGATGCACTTTGCTCCTTTATATTAGACACTGACAAGTTCATGGAGACATTCATTATTAGTGCCCAAAATGTTTTTAGCACATATCATATTCTTTGACTAGAGGCTCTRTAGATCAGCTAAGTATGTGAAGGACCATCTCTGCTGTTTTATTTTGAACCTGGCTCTGACTACTTAACAGCTACTGGTTAATTTTTTCTGTTGACTTTTAGCGCCTCTTCTCCCACAATAAAGTAATATGGCAGCAATTTTCTTCACACAGCCTGTGTGCTACTAATGCATCACTCTCAGGTCTCCAAGTTGTCTTCTTTCCCTCAATCACTTGGTTGAACACTTCAGCTCACTCCATTTTTACTATTTGTAACAGAAGATAACTCAGACACCTGTAATTCAAAGGTGAAAGTATAGCATTAAAAAATCCTGAAACTGACAAACCATAATCAAAAACCTCACCCCATCCAGATCAGAATGCTTGTTATTTCTAGAAATTATGCATGCACTACTGCTTGTGCACTACTGTTCTAGCTCATAGGAACAACATGATTTATTACACCACATGGCCAGATTCACAATTGGACCTACAGTGTTGTATTTTGCAATATTTCATTATTGACTCCAAAAAATGAAGACAAGCTATAAGCCCTTACTTTAGGTACTGAACATTTCAAGGAAAAAAAACAACCCCATACCTTTATATTAATTTACTCACAAAAAGCATTCAGCTTCCTTCTTTCTTGACATGATAATTCAGTTTATTTACATGAACACCCAGGGTTCCCTAGCTTCATGCTTTCCTTGCTCACCAAACCTTCAGCCAGTACAGACCCCCCAGCCTCCAGCTCCAAGGCCTGGTGTTTTTCTTTTATTTGTCCATGGTTACACATCTCTAATCTTCACAGAAAAATACTTCACACAGCTCCTTCTCACAGTTTGTCCATACACTCACAAACCAAGCTGACTCTCAGCTCTTCTGCTCTTAAATCTACAAGTGTCGTATTCCTCACAAACCAATAATAATGGAAGTCCCTTCCACTACCAAGTTTCAAACCTTTTTTCCAGAGCTTTCAGTCTTTTGTCTAATCCTGCCATGAACACCTCTAGCGTTTTATCTCTAGAGATAAATCAAGGAAGTTTTATTCCTCAGAGTCTGATCTTTAAGAAAGAGATGTTACATTTATAGATCATTTTAGAGGATATAATTATATAAGCACAATTTAATCATTATGAGTCATTGTGGATATGGAARGAGTAAATCATGTTAAAGAAATCTGGTTACTTTTAAAAATGAAAAATGTTATTAGCCTAGATAAACCAAGAGTCTTGACATAACTGGGGTTTTAGGAGGTTCAGAGGAAAGTCAAAATGATGGATCGTTGTTATCATTAAGAAAKCTTCCTTGTGGATGGAGTAAATCTTTATTGAAACTTTTGTCCAATATCAAGCACTCGTGACCCAGCACTCACATCTGAAAGTCTGTATTTTGAAGTCTGACTCTTTCCCATCCTTGATGGGTTTGGGTTTTTAGGGCATCTGGTGTTCCTGAAAGACCACGATAAGTTCAGTTGACTCCAGGTCTGATGCAGTTGCCTCCCTTCARGGGTGAGCAGTACCAAGGTATCAATTAATACCCAGAAAAACAYGGGATTGGACAAAAAGTGGAAAGGCAGCTGCTGAGAAGTGAAGTCTCACAGGGTTKTAGATTAAAACCAGCAGATTTTCATATTTTATTCAACGGTCTACATAAAGCTCTAATAAGTCAGATCATTAAATTTGCAGACGATACTAAAATAAGCAGAGTATTTAAGACTCAGAGGGATGCAAGAATAATCCTGATATTAATAAAATGGGCTCAGAGGTGAGATAGGAAATTAAATGAGTATTCATTTAATKTAATGAAAATTGACACACTTCAGTAAAAATAATGTTCAGGAGACATACTGAGACACACTTAAATTATACTAAGGTAATTAATATGTAAAGAGACAGACAGTTATGAGCTATTCTTGCATTGCCATTCATAGTTTTAAATTCTAAGAAGACATGACCCCTGTCCTAAAGAGATAACAGACTGGCAYAGACAAAATAACACACTGTCATTTAACACACTAAGAAAGAGAGTCTGCCAGAACAGCCAGAAAAGAGAGAGAGAGCCCTCTGGACTGCTAGTCACTAACATGACTCAGAAGACTGACTCTGATGRCCATCACCACATTTGACTTTTGCTATTTTCTYCTCTACAAATTTATGTCTGACTAAWGGCTACYTCAAAGCTACACARARCATTTTAARAAAAGAGTCCYCAGGTATGAAAATAGAAATGTTATATTACCAGCTATCTGAATAAAATGCAAGGAAATGAAATGCCTATTTCTAAGAGGAGGGAAAAACCACTTCAGTTGGCAAACAAAAAAAAAAAATCCAAAATTTCCAACCTCTAAAAGTAGACCTTTAAGTCTCTCTTAAGGCTGCAGAAGGAAAAAAAGCCTGAGAATAAATCAAGCAGAAAGCCAGCAAGATGCTGACAAAAGGGCAAAAAAAGGAAAAAAATGAAATCAGGAACAAAATAAAACAAACCAGCAGGCAGTCTAAGACAAAGGTCCTTTACCTTAGTTCACACCAGGAAAAAAGCAACCCCAAAACCACCACAAGAAGCACAAAAGTATTTTTAAGTACTTAGTAAAGAGTCTGTAAAAGCCAAAGTTGTTCTTTATTAATATGACTATAACAGCTTGTCATAACACATACCTCCAGAGWGGAATACCCCTTTTTCATTATACCAGTGAAAATTCTGAGGAAGACTRAAAAAACTGCTTCTCACAATTTCCCCATTGAACCATTTATATTAAGAGCAGCATGGTCCCCTGATGTACTGGGTTTAGCCAGATTTCCCCACCTAGTCAATTAACAGCCCAAATTAACTACAAGCATCCAGCTGTAGAGACTTGGTTAGACCTTTTGTTTGTTACAATTCAAAGAGCAAAATTTCAAGGAAAAATAACAGCAGTGTTAACAGAGGGAAACTGCCAAGGTCATATGATTCATTTATGAAGGAGCTTAGCAACAAAGGAGAGCTGTGAAACACTAATAGCAAAAAACCAACTGATGCTGGATTAACACAGCATCGAGCAACATCTTGAAGGAGATCAAAGTAGTAAACAAAATGAAATTCAGTGATGAGAATGAGAATAGGGTGCTCAGTTCTTAGCAGTATGAAAGGGTAAATGAATTGCAAAGGACCCACACAAGTTACAGCAACATAAACAAGAGGAGGGGAAAATATGCTAGTTTTGCCTTGGTTAATAAGAACAGAAATAAATTTCTAAATTTCCTTGCTTAATGAAACAWTTTGTTGGTGTCATTCCTAAATAAAGAACAAGAAATCTGATTTTTATAAATAATGTTATCCYAAAATATTTAAACAAAAAGCAGAAGAGTTACAGGACATAATGAAGTACTATTTAAGATTCTCAGAAAACAAAAT